ATTCTAAAATTGGGTACCAGAATTTTGGTTTTCCTTAAGATAAGACATTCTTACTTTGGTATCTGTATTTGTTAAGCTTATCTTTGTCTGTCACAAATATGGTCTCTCCAATGAGAATTGAACTCACCACACAACGGTAATAGAGCCCTAGTCTAAGCATTAACCCACAGTGAAGCGCCCCCTCTGACACATCTGTTCATAAATGCACTGCTGTGTGTGTTTTATACGGACCATCAAGAACCTATTTGCTCAGATCTTTATCAACTCCTGTATACATCTGATGCACTTGGGACTGGTATAAACGCCCTCCACAGATGTCTGCTTACAAGTCTGTGCACATGCGGAGATGAAGTGAGGTGGGGGTGGCAGAGGGGCAGGGTGCGTGGGTCTTGGGTTAAACTGCAATCATGAAGCATTGTGGAGAATCAAAATTCTTGCCAGTCTTAATCTTTTGATTCTGTCAGATCCGACTTTTAATTAAGAGATGTTGGCCACTCCATCAACATTCGCTGCAGATTCTGCCTTCACCAGCTCGTCCCCCTGATTCAGTGCCCACTTCCAAGAAAATTGCTACTCTTCTCTTTCGACTTGAAATACGACAATATTATCAGCCACACTTGATACTTAATGAAGGCAGCCGTAGCCAATGAAATATGTTAAAAATAGCGTGAAAAAGAAAAAAATAGCTTTTTTTTTCTAAAAGTGTCAGTTTTAGTCAGTCTTAAGATATTGCAACATAGATTTTATCAGCATTATCAGTTTTATTATCTATATAATACATGTATTAATTAAGTTTGCATGAAAATAATATTTGATGGCTAAAGATCAAGGGACAGCAAGTCTCCCTAAATGATTATTATTATATCAAATTTCACATCAGTACTTGCATTATTTACATTATTCGGACTGTTCATCTTCATTGCCATATTCACAACAGCTGTTGTATGCTCTGGCCGTCTTCAAGTGATTGGAATTTTGAACTGAACCCTTTATTTCATCCACTGGGGTACATTGTTCTAGTTCCACATGCCATGGTTTTTACAGATGTCTCAGTTATTTTCCCTTTAACTCTCCAAGTTTTTTGGTTCAACATTGTTGTGGCCTGGAATTGAACTCACAACACTTTAGATCTGGTCACTGGATCTAACCAACATATTTATCCACTGAGTCATGTCCTACACATTGAGAAATAAAAGGTTCGGTTTGAAATTCCAATCACCTGAAGAAGGCCAGAGCATACAACAGTCAAAACATTGTGACTATGGCAATGAAGATGAGGATAACAGTCTGAATAATGTAAATAATGCAAGTAATCATAATACCTTATCTCAGAGATATAGACAAATATTCACATCAGTAGTTCTCGCTATAATATTCCACTAGTCAAATCCCCCGTCTTACAATCATTTCTCTTAATAACTCAGCAGATGATGCTATTTTATGGTAACTGGATTTTTGGCAATTGTCTACTCAGTTCCCATCAGTGATAGTACATCTGAAAAGTCATACTTTTATCGTCATCATGACTAAGATCAAAGTGTAGTATCTGTTCTTAGCAGCTTAATTGATTCTCTTTCACCATTTCTATCTTCCCTTTTTTCTTTCTTTCCTTTTCTTACTGTTTTTCACTCTTGTCACATGATCAAAATGGAATACTTCATTATTTACTAGGTATTGGTAGGGCTTGGGAGTCGTGTGAACTAATGGAGGAAGGGACAAGCACAATTATTATATGATAATTTTCAAGTTCCCACAAAATGTTTGGGGCATATTTCGTCAAGTGATTCATATTTTCAGCATCTTTTACAGATATCCTTGCAGACCTAGATCCTTGTGATCTGGACTATTAATTCTTCTGTACATTTCCCTTCAATCTGCATTCTGGTATTTTTGGAAAGATTTCAAGTGTGTTGTATATTTGGGATGAAATTGTAACCTTCATATTCAAAGGTATTTTTTGTTTTTAGTTCTGAAGTAAGGTCTTGGTATTTTTCTAACTTTTCAATTTCTTATATCTTCTCCTTGTTGTCTACTGGCCCAGCAAAAACCATGACCATTACAACTATTAAATCCTTAAATTTGTATTAAATACTGAGAATTGATACTCAGTACTATAGTACTTTTATTTCTACCATCCATTTACACAGGTTATGCAATGTTTTCCTTCATCCATCTTACCTTCAATCTGTCCTGTGAGTGCCATAATTTCCAAGACTTCCTTCCTCATTATATGACCTAAAAATGTCAACTGATTCTTTTGGATTTTAAGTATAAGTGTCCTTTTTGTTTCCATTTTATCTAAAACTTTGTCATTGCTACATGTTCAATCCATGGCATTCTCAGCATCCTTCTGTAGAACCACATTACTGTTGCTTCAAGTTTCTTCGTCTTCATCTGTGAGAAGA